GTCATCGAATTTGTTTATCCTTTTGGTGTATTAAATATCTTACAACTTTTAATTATAACTAGTCATTTTTGTCAAACATGAAAACAAGATTTATGAAAGCCCTCTGACATTCTTACCATCATCTATAAAATTATCCTTTCCAACAATATTTTTCTCTTCAAAAATCCAATTTCTTTTACAGCTATCTGTATCAGTGCACTCTAAAATAAAATATAGAGATGAAAATAACAGAAATGGTAAAATTTGATAAAATCTTATTCTATTTGTATAATCAATGAAAACAAAACTAAAACTTGCAGGATTTGAATCATATTAACTTAACTATAAAATCTACAATGACTAAAAAAAAGTATTTAAATATTTTTTTATCTATGTTTTACTTTTTTGGAAAGATCTCTAACATACATGTATGGTGTGGCATTCTTAAAATTGTTTAACTACAGTACCTTGCAAATCTTCTTTACTAGTACTTCTATTTGTGAAAGAAAATTAATTTAAAACTAATTAACAGACTTATCTATGTTCATGGCTGTTGCTTAATAAGAAAAATGCCATTATTAGGTTTTTAGCTGAAAATTACAATTATAATTCATCAGCTTATTTTAATATAGTAACAAAATAGAGAAAAATTGCCAAAACCTTACCTGTTGTTTTCTCACCAACAACTGTTATATGAAAAAAGGCATGTGTTAAAGTTTGATATAAATAATAAAATATTCAATAATTCAAGTTCATCAGTAATATCTACCACAAACTTTCTTTGACAATTATTGTATAAAATGAATTTCTACTCAATTAATGGATGAAAGACAAGAGGTGAAATTCACACAGACATTTAGTTATATCCATTAAATGAATATGTTTGTACAGCTTTCTATTAAATACTAGTTCAGAGCTTTTATGGATGAGTGTGTTATGTGATTGTTTGGACAAGAGTTAGATTTATAACGTGTTTCAAATCGTTAATAAGTTTTGGTGAACAGTAAAAAGAAATGTCGTACTGCAAGGTAATTATCTGTATCTTTTAAAATAAGTTTATCATAAAGCTATTTGAAGAAATTAAATCATGTGTTTGAAAAATGATAATTTAGGATCAACACTAAATTATGCACAATGTTCTCATATGTGAATATTTTATCAAGGAAAGTAGCTCAGTAGTGATTTGTTTGTTTGTTTGAAGTTAAGCACAAAGCTACACAAAGGGCTATCTGTGCTCTGCCCAACACGGGTATCGAAACCCGGTTTCTAGCGTTGTAGGTCTACAGACATACCGCTGTGCCACTGGGGGGCCTCAGTAGTGAAACTTTAAAAATGTACATTACTAAATTTTTACATCATGCACAGCTTTCAGTGATTTTTTTTTAATTAAGGTTTTGCAGAGAGAATTTGTTATACAAGGCACATATAATGCAAAGTTAATTTTGTATTTCATCTTCATTAATAATATAACTGTGAGATTTAGTTTGTACAAATCTTGATTTCTACTTGGTGCTGTTACAAAAGAGTGCATAATTAAATTCATGATTCAGAGCTGCTATTTAAAAGCAAATACTTATACTGCTTTCATGAATATTTGTAACTGTTTTTAAATTCATAAAGATGAATAAAGCAACAGTATTATATTTGGATTATTATAAGAAGTATTTGAAAAGAATCTGATTGAGTGATTTAATTACCCCTATTCACCTCTGCATAAAGGAAATTATTCATACTTTCTGATCCAAAGAAAGTTCACTGCATAAATCAGCACTAAATAGTAACTTATGAATTAATAAAGCCTATTCTTTATAACAAACTTCATGAAATACTTAATCTCCTGCATTAATTCTAAACAAAGTGAATATCTAAAATGATTAGAATGCATTGAATAATTAGATTTGTATCCTTGATGTTAATAATATTTTCAGCTGTAATCCCAATACTATCTCATGAGTTTCAAGTTTAGGAGTTACAGGTTAGTCCTATGTCCTAAATGAGAAATTATGAAAAATAACGGTGGAAATAAAAATATGAATATTCAAAATTATTTTATACATTATAACCATTAAAACAATTGAACTAACTTAAAAAATGAGGATTCATTATTCTAGTAATTTATTTTCTTATTCTTATATTTATGTGTTTACATGATGCAATTGTTTTGAATTAGATTTACTAAATTTAACATTTTGCTTTCTTTATTTTATATTGAAAATCTCATTTTGCATTATATTACACTTGGCAATTAATGTTTTCATTAAATATTGGAAAAAAATCGAAACTTTGATAACTTTTAGATATAGCTTAAAGAAAAGTTACTGACCTTCAATTTTTCTTATGGCTAAGAAGAATTCAGTTGATTTATTAAACCCCTAAGGAAGGACAAACTGATTAATAAAAACTTCAGTTTAATGTCAACTTTGAAAATGCAAGTAGAAAAGTAGTCATTTGCTGATTCAGTGTTGGTTCTCTATTGTTTACAGTAAAAGATTAAGATGTGAAGTTGAAAATCATTATGATCACAAACAATTAAGCTAAAGCACTAAGATGTTGAATACATTCACCACTTTAGCACTGTGTTATTTATTCAGAGTTCTTACAACATATGGAGATAAATGTAATAACATAAAATTCACTTTAGAAACACAATATTGTAACATAAACAATTATATTTTATCTAGTAATGCTTTGAGCAACTATTCCTCATAAGATTCAATATCATTTCTATATTAATCCCAAGGAAGGGTGGTTACTTCATCAAATTTGTTTCTATCTAAACATTGTGTTTTTACAGTGATTTTGTTTTAAAAGAAAAAGTTGTTGCATTCACATTTACATTACACTCCAAGTCAACTATCACAAGTGTTGTACCCCTCATAGAAGCTTTCATATTGCATTTTTCAATCACATTAATCATTTGATCATTGAGTCTGTTGAGTCATTGCTGAAGTAACACCAGAATTCACTGATCATATATTTGATTTTAGGAACAATGTACATCAATGCTGACTAAATTTTGAAATGCACCCATATTAGTAAAAATTTCTTAATTACATATCATCATCATTAGCACCTCCATCTCTAGCAAATATCTAAATTATAAAATTTAAAATATAGTTTACAACAGTATTATTAAATCATTCCAATATAAAACAAATTAAAAAGTCTTATACAGTTATAAATAGTTCAGAAACATGCACAAAATATGCAATTAAGTTGACAGTACTTAAATATCAAGTGTTGTGCAATTTATGAAATATAATGATAAAAAATAAGTTACAGACCACTACAAACCTTCTCAATATTATATTTTTCACTTTTTTCCCATTTTTTCATATTACACTTAACATCTTTATTCATGCCATCTACAATGATTTCTTTGGAATTACTAGAATCGTTACTATCACACCAGTATTCAAAAGTAATTGATTTTCCTTGTAACTTCTCAGCTTCTTCTGTAAGATTAATTTCTTTCTTGATTTCTAAATAACTTCCTAAAAAAAAATATAAAGATGCACATAATGAAGAAAATAACAACACCATCATAAATTAAATGGTATATTACTTTATTTAATTAATACAAAAAAAGAGGATGTTCCTAAGCCCATTTTTCATTCAGTTACAATAATTGGAAATAAGTTACCTAATACTCAGAAAGAAGGTGCTCCACTATAACCAATTGTTTCAAATATAGAAACTTTCATTTACAATTTTATCAAATGTTTTTCAAACAATTTTCTCACAGTGGACTTCAATTTCTTAGAACACATTCTTAGTAACAACTCTAATTTCCTAAGCTGTATTAAAAATATCAAGTATGATCACAAAGTTTTCTTTACTATTCTTAACATTACTTCACTGTATACTACTATATTACCGAACAAAACAACAGACTTAGTACAAATATTCTCCAGCATCCACTGATATATGTAGAATAACTATATTCTGCAATACTCAGTGTGCATATATACATGTGTCAGCAAATTAGTGAAGTGGTAATATGTCAAAAGTTATGATAAACATTAATATAATGCAACTTCGAGCTTTAAGACTGGAATTAATACAAGTATGCAGCATGTAAGCAGCTTCATAATATACCTTTTCTGCCAACAGCTTAAAATGGTATGCTATGAGTTCCAGTTGTAGTTTGCAACACAGACTGTATAAACCAAGTGAAAATAGCATAATTTTGTTAATTATTTTTGTTTATTATAGTGGGTTTTTCATGCCCCTTACATGGCAGTACTAAATGGATAAACATGGAAGAGAGCTGTGGCACCATTTCTGTGAAGCAGTGAATGCAAAACTCACTGTATACACAGCTAGGGCATATAAGGTTATTAAATAAAAACCTGATAGTTGGTTTCAACTGTCAATAATGACTGTAAACTCTGACATATTACTGTTAGGTAAAATCTTAGAAAAAATCTAAAGGCAGGTCCTATCTGTCAATGAGGCCTGATCATGACAGCATTGTGTCTTTTGATCACATTTAAGCTGATGAGAAGGAAAATATTAGCAAAATATATCTAGCTGTTAATGAGTAGCCAGTTGAAGAAATACCAGAAGAGAAACAGCTTTTTTGTTCAGATGACTGGTCAAGATACAAATGATATCATTTTAATTATTATGGCTAAGGTTAACTCCATGACTAGTTGTTAGGATAATCAGTTGTTTAAAAAAATAAATAACCCAAAAGATGTGGCATTCCTTGCTTACTGAGTGTTGGTGGTTTGTGGTCATGTCTTCGGGATATTATGTGATAACCACTCAATTGGTGTACAGATATATTTTGTTGGTTAAAAAGTCAACAGCTAAAATCAATATGCGAACCAGAATGATCTGATTTCTTGTGATGATTGACCTAACTATAAAAATGGGTTACAGCACAGTTTCTGTGGAACAGTATGTGCAAAATTCACTAAATACACAGACAGAGCATATCAGGTTGTTAGATAAGAAAACCTAAATTTGTTTTTAACTGTCAATAATGAAAGGAAACTGACATATTATTGTACGATAAAAATCTTAGAAACAAAAATTTATTGTACGTCCCAATTGTGAATTATGCTTGGGAGGCATGATAAACCAACATGCTGAAAGGAATAGACTGACTGTGGAATGGGTGATAACTGCCTATTACAGAAACACTAGTAGAAATATATTGGCGACTACACAATCTACTCACGCAGGTCAAGTGCAGAGGACAAAGATTTGAAAGTCTTCATCTTTTGTCCTCAGATCAGAGTGCAAACTACTGCAAGCCTAATATGGCATTCAGATGGATTGAGATGAACGTGTTCTAATTGGTCATTTGTTCTTGGTTCTGACTGGTGGAGCAACTGAGTGTGGATGCAACCAATGGAAGCCATAAGTTGCTGATTTCTAGACCAGAGTCTCTAATTAATGAAGATTTTATTTTGTTGATGCAGAAGGATTCCTATATTTTTCTTGGCTTCCAAAATCTGTCTTAGTCAATAATTCTAGCTTTGTCCTAGTCTATTTTGTGACCCATTCATATATTATGCTCTGCATTATCTGAATTCCATATTTCTATTACTACTGTGGTGTCTTTGTGTTCTTGTCCTGAGCAATCTTCCAATTTGTTTAATCTAATCAAAAAACACCTTAGGTATGAAAAAAAAAGGTAAGGCCAAAAAAGGATTGAGTGTGTGACTTATAAGTAATGAAATCAACGTTGACAACTAAACTGGTAGCTACACTTATAGCATTGATAAGAATTTTATAGAAAATATTCTTAGTTAGCCAGGCCACATTTTGTGCTCAACTTGGAACATGATGGTGGGTAAAATAAAATATGTGGCCTAGCTAACTAATAAATGAATATTTTCTGCAAAATTCTTATCAGTGCTATAAGTGCAGCTACCAGTTTGGCCAAGAAATTTGATTTCATTCTTTTTAAGTCATATGCTCAATCCTTTTTTGGCATCACCTTTTCTTCACACCTAAGATGTTTTTGATTAGTTATCATGACTTTTTGTCAATACACACCAACTAACCACAGCAAGTAAGAAATGACACTTGACAGTAACCAATGTTAGCTTTGGGATCGGAACCCTATTATTCAGAACAAAACTATACTTCATAGAACCAACCAGATTCTTTAAAATATATGGTAGTAGTTTATC